TCCTCTCCTCTCCTCTCCTCTCCTCTCCTCTCGCCAGATCACACCTGATCCCAGGCCACCTGTGAAAAACGAAGTTCACCATTCTGATAAACTTTAAAAGGTTTAATAAAAACAAAAAGACAATAGGAGACAAAGACAATAAAGCAAAGGGTTAAAACGGTGGATGTGACCCTGAAAATTAAACCTTCTGATAATGTTTTCACTGTTTCAGTTACTTTCCCATGAAAGTTCTACAGACAGAAGTTGTTCATCACGTTCCTTCTAAGGAACGCCTTTTGATGGACGTTTCGCATGCCCAGTGTGATTGGGAAGGTGGTGACTTAATTACCCAATCCCTGGTCATTGCTGAGAATCTATAAATACTGGAATCAGAGAATAAAGGCACGGATTTTTCTGTTCTGACACTGAGAGTGTTCCTGTGAATAATTTTGTATCCTTTAGTGATACCAGGGGTGCTTGGCTCTCTGCCAAGAGCACCCCTGGTGTCCTGGGAGCACCATCATATACCGTATATATACACCACTCCTGCCACACGGATTCATGCATATTCAAACTTTCCCAGGAACTCATTTGCATGGCCACTCCTTGGGTCCGCCTTTACGGAGCACGTGCGTTTCTTGGCTCTGCGGTTTTAATTAATTTCCCATCATCCTTTGATTTGGGCTTTGTCTCGTTTTCTCACAGGTGCTGAGTGTTGGTAGCAGCCAGTCCCCATCATCCCTTCACTGGGGGTTTTCCTGCCTGTTCAGGCAGTTAGAACACACCATACCCACCTCCTAAACTCTTGCTAGTGGCAGGAGAAAAAGAAAAAAAACCCACATTTGTTGGGGAGGGTTGAAACAGGGAAACCTTATGAATGTGATTGTTTGGCAGAAGATTGTGAAAATATGAAGGCTAGAATCGAAGTAGAAATGAAAACCTGCTTTGAGTCCTAGGATACCGAGTACTGGTTAAGCAAAGAACAATAGCCTAGCCAGCTAGAGGAGAATCCCTGCTGATAAAACAATGTCCTGCTGCTGATAGAGAATCCAAAGGTCAAGAAGCGAGGAAAGAACTTGTAAAGGTTTGTAGAATCTAAAATGCAACACTGTATGTTAATATAGGGAAGTGCATAGGTTGTATGTAAATTCTTTAGTGGGTGTGTCTCATGGTGATTGGTTACTGGGAATTAGAATATTCACGATAGGAAAGGATATATTGGATTGTAACAAGAACTTCGCTTTCTTACCTCTTACCTCTCTTAGCTTTTCTCTCTTACCTCTGAACCCCTCTCCCCCACTCTTAATTCTCAGCCCCCTCTCCCTGCTCCAACCCCTCTCATCTTCCCTGCTCTCTCCCTCTGGTTTTTCCCTCTTTCCCTCTGTTGTTCTGACTCCCTCCCTCCCCTTTTCCAACCTCACCTCTCCTGCTCTGCAGGCTCTTCCTCCTGCCCCTGACCACGTAGACGCCAAGGCTGGTGGCAGACACGGGTCTCCCCTCTTTTTACCCTTACAATAAATTGCTTATACCTGAACAGCTTGACCCAGGAGAAGTCTCTCACCGCGAGCGAGCGTTTTTTCACTCCAATACACATTCACACAGCAAAAGCCACTCTAAAATTACGCACACGCCATTCATCTCAACACTGGCGAAAAGCCAACATCACAATATGCATTTAAAACATTTAAAATCCCAGGGCTCCTCATCCTCCAAAGACTTGTGAGCTCACGGGCACCCACGGGGACAACAGAGGGGTCTCTTTGGCTCTGGCACTCCCCGGCCTTCCAGAAAGATCTCCCAGCGCTCTCTGCGCTCCTCAAGAGCACCGAGGTCATGGCCAACCCCGGAGGCTCCATGGGGACGCTCCATGGTGTCACTGTTGGACACCAAATAGAAGTGTGGATTCAATCACTGCAGCCAGAACGAGATGCTCAGGAAAAACCTTCATTTTCCAAACTTTTCAGCTTTTTTTAGGGTCTCACCATACAGGTTTAACGTGATTGGTGAAGGGAACACCACCCCTCTGTCCCATTGGTGGGGCAAGAGAAAAACACACTAACCACAGCTGTACAGAACTGTTGAGAGAAAATTAAATTTCTCTAAAAAATAGCCCTTGAGAGAAAATGAAATTATTTACAAAAATTGTCTGTGAAAGAGAGATGTTCTCAAGAGACTTTCCCTTGGGAAAAGATCAGCCGCTGACAGGCTGGAGCTCTCTGAGACTCAGAAAAATCAGGTCCACACCAGGGCTCTCCCAGCTGCCAAAGCACACCGAGCTCACGGGATGACACTTGGGACACCAGGGCTGTCTCCAGGGCACTGAGCAGCCGTGATGTCACAGGACCTCACAGGGGCTCCACGGTGACATCCCAGAGCTCTCCAGGCTGAAGAAGAGGTGTCACAGATGGCCACACAGGTGCCATTGTCACATCCCAGAGCCCGCCAGGCTGAAGAAGAGGTGTCACAGATGGTCACACAGGTGCCATTGTCACATCCCAGAGCCCGCCAGGCTGAAGAAGAGGTGTCACAGATGGTCACACAGGTGCCATTGTCACATCCCAGTATGCTCAGAGGAACACTGAGCTCACCAGCAGTCCCAGGGGCTCCATGGGGACATCCAGGGCTGCCTCCAGCCTGCTCAAGAGCCCTGATGTCACCAGCACAAGCTCCTTGGGGACATCTGTCCCTGCTGCAGCTTCAGAGGCCCCCAGAGAAGTTCAGCTGATTTACCAAAATATGGATATGATCCAGTATCAATATCCAGCTGGGACAGACAAACTCTCTAAACGTTTTAGGGTTAGAAAGTGTTTATTAGCAGCACTGGGCCGATGTGCACACAAACCCATCATCCCCCACATCCCCTGGAAGTTCAACCCATGTCCCCACCATGTCCCCATTCCTGGCTCCCCATGTTCCCACCCAATTCCCTGACCCCATTCATGGCTCTCCATGTCCCCATCCATGCCCGTGTCCCTTGATGTCCCCACCCATGTCCATGTCCCCACCATGTCCCCATTCATTTCCCCACCCATGTCCGTGGCTCCCCGTGTCACTGTCCATGGCCGTGCTCCCTTGAGCTCCTGTTGCATCCAGGTGAGCACAGGGAGCCAGGGAGATGTGGACACCACCAGCCAGGTGTCTTCCCAGCACGGATCACCAGGAGCACGGATCACCGAGTCCCTGCCCAGCGAGGCTCACTGGGGATCATCCAGAGCAGGATGGAGCTGGGGCAGCGCACGAAGCTCTTCCCGCACGCGGGGCACGCGCAGGGCTTCCCTTACCGGGCCCTCCCTTGCTGTTGGCTCACGGTAGAGCTCTGGGAGAAGCTCTGCCCACACTGGGGACACTGTTAGGGTCCCTCCATGCTGTGGGTCCGCTGGTGGGTCAGGAGGGTGGAATTCTTATGGAAGCCCTTCCCACAGTCGGGGCAGCGAAAGGGCCTTGTTCCTGTGTGGATCTGCTGATGCATGAGGAGAGTGGAGCGTCTCTTAAACTTCTTCCCACACTCAGGACACTCATAGGGCCTCTCCACAGCGTGTATCGTCTGGTGGCCGAGAAGGTTGGAGCTCTGGGCAAAGCTTTTCCCACACTCTGAGCACGTGTAGGGCTTCTCCCCGGTGTGGACCCTCTGGTGGATGATCAGGTTGGAGCGCTGGCTGAAGCTCTTCCCACATTCTGAACACGTGTAGGAACATTCCCTGGTGTGAATTGTCTGGTGGATGACCAGGCAAGTGCGGTCACGGAAGCGCTTCCCACATTCCCTACACACATAGGGTCGTATCCCACTGTGGATCATCCAGTGGCGGATCAAACTGGAGCCGGCGGTGAATCTCATCCCACATTCCTCACACTCGTAGGGCCGTTCCCCGGTGTGGGTCTTCTGGTGGCGGATCAAATTGAACTTGGCGCTGAAGGTCTTCCTACATTCCCCACATTCGTAGGGCCGTGCCCCGGTGTGGATCCTCTGGTGCACGCTCAGCTGGGTGCTGGTGCTGAAGCCCTTCCCACACACCCCACATTCATAGGGACGCTCCCCGGTGTGGACGGTCTGGTGGCGGAGCAGATCCGAGGTGTCTCTGAAGCCTTTCCCACACTCCCCACACTCATAGGGCCGTTCCCCCGTGTGGATCATCTGGTGGCGGAGCAGGCGGGACCTTGTGAAGAAACTCCTCCCA